GAATTTCATAAGATAGTTTATAAAAAGCTTTATTGCCTATGCACTTACTAAATAGTTTAGTTTGATTAGTATGGTTGTCGACTAGAAATGTTCGGGTTAATTCGAATAAAAATAAAATCCTGTAACTAATATTTCATATTTTTTTGAATTAATAATAATTTAATACTGGGGAGATTTCTGACTGAACCCTAGCTGCTTAACTATACCCTGGAATGAAAGTGTGTTTGTGTTGATGTTCAACTTTGACAATACTAAATTTTTTACTAAAAATGGTGAAAAGTGTCTCTATAAGGTTACGTGTTAAATGTTCTTTTTTAACAAGATTATTGAAATGTTAACTCCGTTAGAAACCTTGTTTTCATTGTTGTTAACGAAAACGCTTTAAAAAAAGTGTATTTCTAGTTCTGTAAGCTAAGGGTCAAAAACCTTTGAAACGCCATACCTTCCAATTACTAATTGCTCCCTACTATATCTTTTGTCTTGCGATGCATTTGTGTTTCTTTTATTTATTTTTGGATCAAATCTTATAAGCAGATATGTCAGCGATGGGAGAGCCCAATTTTGCCGCCTGGACAGCGCAGAGGGTAATGTCTGCTGGCGCGTTCGGTGGCAACTATACCGTGGTAGATAAAGTCCCTCCTGAAATGCTCTATCTCGTCGATCATCACTGGTACCAATACCCCCCTATGAACCCACTTTGGCATGGCATTCTTGGTTTCGTTATCGGCATCTTAGGTTGCATTTCCGTTGCCGGAAACGGAATGGTCGTCTACATTTTCAGCAGCACTAAGTCCCTGAGAACACCGTCCAACTTATTGGTAGTAAACTTGGCCTTCTCTGATTTTGCCATGATGTTTACCATGTCTCCTCCTATGGTTATCAATTGCTATTACGAAACCTGGGTATTGGGTAAGTTTACTATTTTCTTCATCTACTATCCCGTGTTTATATCTCATAATCAGTCAAAATTCATATTTTCAACGATTACCAAGTGTTTTTATACTTTTTGATACCACAATAGAAACGTGTATAAACGTATATGGTAAAGACAAAACATATCAATGTTTCATGCAAAATATTTAACAAAAGCTCGACCAAAGGTGCGTCGCGTAGTAGTAGTAGTAATTACCTATCAAGTGAACTATTGTTGATGTGTCGCATATTACTATTTGGTATGAGCTTTTGTGGGACTATGGGAGTCATTTCGTAAATGCAACGGAAACGAGTAATAGGAAGTTAGGGAAGGGGAAGCGCGCAGTATTCAATTAATGCAGTCTACAGTTGGCGCTTGAGGAGACAGGGAGAATAAGGGAGAATAAGAAAGATGACCCAGCTGCCAACCGTTCGATTTAGTACACTTGGTATGGAAAAGCGCGACGCATTGTCATGTAGTTTATTTTGTCACTATTAACAATATAAATTAGACAGTTTTATAGGCGTTGTGTTGATATCTGAACGTTACTTGATGGCTAAAACAGTATTAATAAATGATTTCTGTAATTGATATTATTATTATTACTCAATCGTTTTGAAATTAGTAAATATGATCATCATCATCATAAAGTCTTCAGGCACCTCCAATTTTCGCTATCGTGAGACAATTTTCTAATTTCCCTATAACTAGAACACCCTTAACTATTTTTGCGAACAGTAATCTAATCTAGGTCTATTTCTACTCCTCTTGGTTCCTGTTTCTGCTTCTAACTAGCTCCTCATGCCTCAGAATATGTCCTATCAACCTCTCGCCTATTTCTTATTGACCTTCACATCGCCCTCTATTCTCGTTTTCATTCAAATACATCCTCATTTCTAATCTCCTTAATCAACGGTATCCTCACCATTTGCCTGTAACACCACATTTCGAACGCTTTTAACCGTTTCTTTTCCGCCGCGCCCATCGTCCATATTTCGTATCCGTACAGAGCTGTGGTCCAGAAGTACACCTTTAGCACTCTTTTTCGAATTCCTTGACTTGACCCTGCGCTATCCTTTGCTTTATATCTTTGTTGCTTCTTCCACCCTGAATTATTTGATTTCCTAGATATCGAAAATCGGCGACTTCCATCATTATATTCACTTTTTTTTACTTTTACTTCCCTTACATATTAATATTTTAGTTCAAAACAGCATGGTATTAAAATAAATAAAAGTAAAACAAAAATATTTTTACATATGATATTAATAAATTAACATGCTCGTTGCCGAGATTGGTTATTACACATAAATGGCAACTACTGATGTGAGACCCGCATTTTTTTCATTTTTAAGCAATTTTATTTATTTTCTATTTTTAAGACTACATCGGTTACGCGCACATACACTTGTTTGGATTCAAATCTACATGAAAAAATTAATAATGACTACCTTTGTATCTATGGTTCATTATTTACAAAAAAATCGCGACAACTAATACCAAAAGTTTTGTCAATTTGTCAATTATGAAAAACTAAAACAGATTTTTTTTGTTTAGGTCCATTGATGTGCGAAATCTATGGAATGCTTGGCTCCCTCTTCGGATGCACCTCAATCTGGACGATGACCGCTATTGCCATGGACCGATACAACGTCATTGTAAAGGGTTTAAGCGCTAAACCAATGAACAAAAAAGGAGCCTTGTTTAGGATTTTACTTATCTGGCTATTCGCTCTTGTATGGACACTCGCTCCAATGTTCGGATGGAATAGGTAATTACCGTAAAATTATAGAATAATTGCGCAAGTTATCGAGACAGCCCATACGAACCAAAAACTAATGGCAACAATACAAGCTCTAAAAATGAGATACAAACTACGCTAAAGAATTGCAGTTTACGTCATTTTAATGGTAAAATGTACATCGTCCTTCCGGCAGGACTCAAACAGTCAGTTAAGTAACTCCACAAATTATGTCTTTAAGGCTAGAAGGATCGAGAGTTTTTGTTAGATTTCAAGTTTTCAAAAAGTTAGAACATGTCAAAACTTTAGAATTTAGTTGCAAAATTCGTGTAGTGTCATGCGTTCCCGTTTTGGTCATCGATTTTATCCTGCAAATGTGTGTAGAAGTTTTGAGATTAGTGGCAATTCGTAGGAAGTTTTAGAATAGTGCCAAAAATTATTAAGCCAAAAAGTTGTGTTTACTCGTTTGACGATAAAGCACAGACACAGCGAAAGAAAAAATTGTCTCAGTGTCCTTAGATTGGAGTAGGATAGTGATAAGTCACGTAGATTTTATACACAATATGCCAATCAATTACTTATAATAGTTTAAATTACTACGCCACTGCAATGATATAAAGACAGAAGTAAACTACTGAAAATATTGAATAAGAGTAGGGCGATAAACTGCGTACCGCTGACAGGACGTCCTCGTTAGTCTAATACAACGACATACATTAGCGGGCATGAAACCTTCCAGCAGGACTAATTCCTCTTTATAAAAGTGCTTCCAGAAGCGCCTCCAGCAGGATAACTGTTTGTACGTTCCATTATTAAACGTAGTCAAGCAAGATGAATTTTCAGAGGAAGCGGAATGTTGTGAAAGCTTATGTAAGATAGGTCGAGTTTGGCGGAGATAGAATTTTTTCAAGCTATTGTGAAATATGTACTGGCATTATCATTTTTTGACAAAAGTACCGTGCATCGCATACATATGTTTCAAATTATTTAAGGTAGATAAACTCCTCTCGTTTATACAAGAAATAATTGTAACCAATAAAATTGAACAACTCGAATAAATTTTTGGATGACGGTCCAAAGTCTCATTTTATCGTAATAAAGGTCATGGTTTCAAATTGTTGAATTCAAAATCGTTTTTACTAGTGAAATCAATAAAAATATCCCTATCGCTAACTGTAAAGAAAGCTTTTTGCAGAAACACATAAAAATTCCACGTGCTAAATCAATAATCATTTTATTTCGTCGTAAAAATTAATTGATACCCAAAGGTTAGGTTAGGTCTAGTCAGAAACATATCAGAGACAGAAACAGGAGTTAAGAGAAATAGAGGTAGACCTAGATTGGATTAATGTTCGCAAATAGTTAAGGGTGTGGGATGTTCCAGTTTTACGGAAATGCTAAGATTAGCTCAGGATAGGAAAGAGTGGAGGTGCGTGTCCAATCAGTCTTAGGACTGACGACATTATGATAACGATGTAAAAAAGAAATTAGAGTTAAGCTGAACTAGCTTATGCATGATAATAAACAAAAAACAATGGGTGCAAAAAGATTAGGTCAACTTGAAGTTTATACCAGAGCTGGACAGAGCTTTAGTACTTTGTGCTTGAAAATGTGCTTCCAGTCCTTTGAGGGCTTAGAAGCACTGCAATTCAAGCCCGAGAATTCTCTTATAAAAGTGGTTTGCAATTTGTAATTCAAAAGACTTCAAGCTATTTCAAAGTGTTTAAGGATTTGAATATAATTGGTTTTGAAGTCCTTGGGTTTCAAGGGCTGAAGCACTTTAAACAAGGGATTTGAATTTAAAGCTTCGAACTCTTTTCTTTTTCGCATATCACTTTTGACTAATGGAACGAGCGACCGAATTGTAGATGAAATGTTTTCGCTTATCTGACTATGCCCATATGAGCGGCCTAATTGCACAATAAATCTATAAAAAATAAAATTCTAAAGCTACTTTTACATGGATATATATTAATATTTGTGAGTATTTTGTTATGCATATTACACATAAGTATATTAAATAAAAAATTCATCACTAAACCCTCGACTACCTGAAAATTCTTTTGACCACGGCACGCAATCGTTTGTCGCCCGCCAGAGTTAAAGTTCAGTTCGCATTTAGACCACAAAAAACCTCTTTTTAATGACCCTTTTACCAGCTATTTTTGGTAAGCAGTTGGGATGTCTCCTTAATTTATTGTTGGGAAAAATAGGAAATTATATGTTTGACTCAGCATTTTTCTTTTATTCAATTAGGTATGTGCCTGAGGGTAACATGACTGCCTGCGGGACTGACTACCTAACCCAGGACTGGCTCAGCAAAAGTTACATCTTTGCATACTCGGTCTTCGTCTACTTCATGCCGCTCTCTATAATCATCTATGCATACTGGTTCATCGTACAGGTAAGTTTTAGGCTCAGTTTTACATAATATACGTGAACATGGAAATTTCTGAAATTTGTGGTATTTTCTAAAACGCGCTGTTAAGATAGCAGGTAAAAGTTGGTCTATGTTCTGTCGGAGCTGTTTGCGACGCGATGATGAGATCCAAAAAGATCGAAATCGCGATCCGCATTTGGCAATTTCGACAGAATACAAATCACTTCGAATTATTTTAATCGAAATTTTTGGTTTTTTCAAAAGAAGGGGATTAAACTTATATCATTCGAAAGGTACCCTGCCACAACTGTGCACAAAACATTATCATATGTATATGTTGCCGTTACGGTAGTTAATACAATTTAATTTAATTTAAGTTTATTTATAATAAACATCAATAGAAAAACTTTGCGATAAATGAATTTTACGAGAATCTTCGGCGATTTAGTGGTAGAGCTAATTTAGAATTATATGAACTTTGATTTTAGCCGGCACAAAACTCCGCTCGTTCAATGATTGCTATATTTCTACCACGTAAAAAAATGGCTGTTATTGTTTAAAGCTTATCTATACCTCCATCCCTGATGGAAAAGTAGGGCACTTGTTTAACAACCAACTCAATGTTTTTTAAATATTCAATATGAAAACGATCACGCCTCTCGTGTATCGTGAAAAAATTAACATTAAGTTGTAACGCCAGAAGCATGTGCTAATTGAAAATTTTAAGATATTGCAATCTATGCAGAACTCAATCAAATAATTTAATTAGTAAATACACAATTTTTATTATGATACGTAAAATTGCTAAAAAAATTAAACAACAGTTACATTAAATGAAGCACTATCTGTAATGGCACTATAGGTTTTGATTCAAGTTTTTGGATATTATTAATTAATTACACTTTTCTATACATTTAACTATAAGACTGTTTGTATACTTAATAAATGAGACGTAGAAGTATTATTTACGCAACATCGTAAAGAAAATTTACTAACATAAATATAATACTACGTTGTTTTCCATTAAATTCGACTCATTTTATCAGTTTCCTTTTCTAATAATAAATATTAATAGAGGAATTTCCGCTATTGTATTATTTATGTAAATATCTTGAAAGTCATATGCATAAGTGTGTTGATGTGATAAACCGCACGAAAACAGAAAATTGTTGTTATTTAGGTATCAAAAATATATGATATGAAATTACATTAGTACTACAGATATTTACACACTTCCTATCAGATCAACAAAAACTGGAAGTGGTACAACATTATATGTATATCAGTTTCTAAAAACCAAGGCGCAATTCAAGAGATTTAATAGAAAAATAAAAGGAATAATATTGTATAACATATTGTTAACAGTTTTTTTCACAAAAATTAATCAAACTCTATAAGCTAATACGTAACAGGGTACTAATTTAGTGTTAGAAGTAGGGTTGCCAGATTTGCGAAATGACTGTAATGTGTTATCTGATAGATACAGATCCAAAATTTTTGTAGGTGGCAATCTTTGGTCTACTAAAAAAAAGTGTTTTGTAAAATTAAAAATCAGCAAAAAATAAAAGAATTTTTACTTTTGTGAGACAACGGTCAACTAATAGTTCGATCCAAAAGCAGGGTCGGATTGGAGATATTGGCCTGTGTGGTTATGGCAGAAATATGACATTTTAAACAATATATCCGTGTAGGGAACACCACTCCTATTAATGAACTTTTGTCAGCTTTTAAATCAATATAACTTGTTTAAGTTTAGAATAGGGGAAATTTGTGATTGAATTCAAAAAGGGGTATATTTGTGAATTCTAGTATGGCGGGGGATAACAAGTGAAAAAGCGTGGCAATCCCGACTAAAATGGGGCCCCTGGAAACCCCAATTGGAGTCGTGGATTGAACGGAAAAAATCAAGCTTGTCTGCGCTATTCCAACCCCGATCATATTCTCTGTATCTTGACCGCCCGTTTAAATAACTATTACTTAAATAATTTCGTAAGGGGGTATATATAAAGTTTAATATGTTATTTCCAACTTGCCACAGATTCATTTCTTNATGGAAAAAAATCAGTCATTTTGCAAAAAACTTGATGACTTTTTTTCATATCTCTCAATTTTAAATTGTTAATAATTATCTTGAATTTTTTAAAAATTTCCGCGAGGCCTCTTTACCATTATGCGCGCAGAACTTTTGTTCTATGAGAGATATGAAAAAAGTCGCCAATACTTTTTTTGCAAAACGATGTGAATTTTTTTTCCATATCTTTCATATTTCGCGAGATAACCAAATTTGCATCATTTTCTCCAACATAGGGTACTCTTCAGTCATTTTCCTCATTTGATTGCATTATTAGTTTTATTCTGATGATCTTGGAATAAATTCATTAAATTATTGTATTTTCTATGATCTTTGACACGTATTTAGGATATCAACGCGAGCGAATCCGTGGATAAAAGCTTGTTTTCAGTATTTTATTCAATGGTTTAATAATAAACTGTTTCTGGCCGTAGTAATCCTAGGTTTATACATTTCTTTGCAGTTAATTCTTATCTAAATCGATTTCTTTTTATTTAAGGCTGTCGCAGCTCACGAAAAATCAATGAGGGAGCAGGCCAAGAAAATGAATGTAGCTACTCTGAGATCAGGAGACGCAGCAAACACAAGCGCCGAATGCAAATTAGCTAAAGTAGCTCTAATGACAATCGCACTCTGGTTCTTCGCATGGACTCCGTACTTAGTCACCAACTGGACAGGAGTACTTCAAACGGCCAGCATCACTCCTTTGGCCACCATCTGGTGTTCTTTATTTGCCAAGGCAAATGCTGTCTACAATCCCATTGTCTACGCTATAAGGTAAGCAGTTTCTCCATTCTTTAACAACAATAATGCGAAAAATACGATATATGTAAGTAAAGGCACTTTGCAATCTTCACATAAACTGGGATTGGGTTATTGGGTAATTATATGACCGGGACACCCCCAAAAACGACTTGGAAACCAACTCGTTCTAGACACTAATTTTAATTGATTCTAAAGTCGTTGTCAAGGAAGCAGTAATTCACCTGAGCAATCAAATAAAAAAAAATGAAAGTAAACGGAGATATCGCTATTTGTTTAAAAAATAAAATAATACCCCTTTTTAACTATAATTTTTAACAATTTAATTTATGAAAATCGATTTGTACAATTACGTTCTTGGAAGAATAGGCTTTCAACTATCGAATGCCCTAAACAAAATTACCTTTCGCTTCGCCAAATCTACAGAAAATTCACATTAACAATGTTATGTTTCTTAATGCAAAATAGAATGTTTCGAAAACTATTACTCGGATCAAGTTGTGCTTTTTCTGTTTGTTTGTATTAAGAAGAGCTAATAATTCAAAAAATATCATCTACACAACGTTTGTATTGACAAAGTTATTAAAAATTCAAGTATTGACCATTTTTAACGGCTTTTAAACATTATTCAGCAGCTACTGATCCAATTTCGAATCTTTACAATCTATTTTGTAGAGAATTGTAAATGCTACATTTTTTATATAAAGCTTTTTTCGGTAAAAATTATAGATTTTTGTGTTATCAATAGAAAATCTGTTTCGCGTGATTGTAGACGCAATTTAGCAACAATTCCAACTAAATTTTTTAGATTTTTCGCAGATATACTTTAACAACATGCCTTTTTTAAAACTTTTAGGTAGGTCTTACCCTGGGTGACATTTTATTTTTTTGAGATTCTAATTTGACTGGTTCAAAAGTCAGTTTTAGACTTAGCCCATGTTCAGCTTGCACGTACGCTCTTCATTTGTTTTAAATAAGAAAACGAGAAATTTACAAAGAACGCATTATATTTTTCATACTAACTGCACGTGGCTGTTACTAATAATTAAAAAAAGTGGAATTTTTGAAGAAAAGTAACAAGGTTCATAACGAGTTTTGTAGTTTTATATGCAAATTAGAAGTTACCTAATACGTTTTTGATAGATGAAAGTATGCACATACAATGAGAAGTAATTACTGGTAAAAAACTCATGAATAAGGTGTGATTATACTCACAATGAAGTTAACATAAAAAACACCCATAAGGCTATGTAAGCAATTATGTTACAACCCACGAAATGTTACTTACACGTGTGACAGGCTTTTTTACCTAAAGTGGCCAAAATACAAAGAACACTTTTAGAATATTAGAAATCAACAACACACAAATTGGTACAAATCTTTATGTCCTTTTTAATCTCGAATCAGAGAAAAGTTTTGGAACAAACATAGAACAATGTACATGTCAATTTAACAAAAAAATATTCGAGTTAAAACTGATTGCGAGTCATAGAAATTCGAGTTATAGAAGTTCGATTGTAGTATGAATTTATTTATGACATTATAATTTTCAGAAGACACCGTGAAAACTTATCAGAAAACTATTAAATGTTCTACTAAAATCTTAAGTTGGTCAAAATTTTTTTGAAAATTTGAAGAAATGCTGATCATAGTGGTTAATAAAATATTGTGTAAATTTAATTTTGTGTTGAGAATTAGAGCCAATGAGGATTAAAAAGTTGTAAGTTTCTTATTCCAAACTGAAGGGAAGAAATAAAAAATATAGGTTTTGTTGTGTTTTTTTTTTGGGCAATCTTGACTAATATTATAAATGCGAAAGTGAGTTTTGTCTATTACCATTTCACAGGTTAACTACTCAATAGATCTTCACGAAATTTTGTACACACATTGTCAGGGGTACATAAAAGGTTATAGGGTACCTTTTATTCAGAAAAGAAGTGTTTCTGAGGGATAGAAATTTTCATTTCGATAAAGACAGTATTTACTATCATTCTACGTAAAGTGTATGTTTAAACTAGAAAATTAGAAATTTTAAAGTCTAGTCAAATGAGAGAAATGACTGAAGAGTATCTTATATTGGAGAAAATTATTGAAATTTTATCGGAAATTTCGTAAGGAACACGAATATGTAAATGATAATTGTTTGCCCGGCATATAGGGGCGAGAAAATCCGCAAAAACAATTGCAAATTCGATTATCTTGCGAAATATGAAAAATATGGAAAAAAATCAGTCATTTTGCAAAAAACTTGATGACTTTTTTTCATATCTCTCAATTTTAAATTGTTAATAATTATCTTGAATTTTTTAAAAATTTCCGCGAGGCCTCTTTACCATTATGCGCGCAGAACTTTTGTTCTATGAGAGATATGAAAAAAGTCGCCAATACTTTTTTTGCAAAACGATGTGAATTTTTTTTCCATATCTTTCATATTTCGCGAGATAACCAAATTTGCATCATTTTCTCCAACATAGGGTACTCTTCAGTCATTTTCCTCATTTGATTGCATTATTAGTTTTATTCTGATGATCTTGGAATAAATTCATTAAATTATTGTATTTTCTATGATCTTTGACACGTATTTAGGATATCAACGCGAGCGAATCCGTGGATAAAAGCTTGTTTTCAGTATTTTATTCAATGGTTTAATAATAAACTGTTTCTGGCCGTAGTAATCCTAGGTTTATACATTTCTTTGCAGTTAATTCTTATCTAAATCGATTTCTTTTTATTTAAGGCTGTCGCAGCTCACGAAAAATCAATGAGGGAGCAGGCCAAGAAAATGAATGTAGCTACTCTGAGATCAGGAGACGCAGCAAACACAAGCGCCGAATGCAAATTAGCTAAAGTAGCTCTAATGACAATCGCACTCTGGTTCTTCGCATGGACTCCGTACTTAGTCACCAACTGGACAGGAGTACTTCAAACGGCCAGCATCACTCCTTTGGCCACCATCTGGTGTTCTTTATTTGCCAAGGCAAATGCTGTCTACAATCCCATTGTCTACGCTATAAGGTAAGCAGTTTCTCCATTCTTTAACAACAATAATGCGAAAAATACGATATATGTAAGTAAAGGCACTTTGCAATCTTCACATAAACTGGGATTGGGTTATTGGGTAATTATATGACCGGGACACCCCCAAAAACGACTTGGAAACCAACTCGTTCTAGACACTAATTTTAATTGATTCTAAAGGTTACTGATACGCTAAATACTAATAAAAATGGAAAAATGGAAGAATAATAAAAAAAATTGGCAAGGTACAAAATCGATAGGTCGAGGTCTGTATTAGAATATCAATATTATTGTTGTCATATATTTATTATTAATATTTATGTAGGCGTTTTTCATTAAACGTTTATAATAAATTACTATTTATATTTNNNNGTAAAATACAATAATACTTATAATTAATGTATTATTGTATTTTACATAATAACGATGCTGTTATTTATTATCATAAAATTTTCGTGTTGTTTTAAAAGCCGTATCATAAAAATAATTTAAATTTCAATTAAATTTAAATATAAATATTTTTTTGCGTATATTACATAATATACTCAATTTGAATGATAACGCCTATTCGCTTACTGGTCACGAACCTTAAAAAATTAGGGAGTATCCCGTCGTGTAAGTGGCGAATTGAAAACCGAGCATAAAGATATATTAAGGGTGGTATCAATAATATTAAGGGTGGTATCAATAATGTCGAATGGCAGCATTTAGTCTACCGTATAAATTTGAAAACAATCAATAAAAATCAGATAGAATCAATGAAGTATTAGAGAAAGAAACATCTAGTATTTGCTTAGAAATACAACTAATACAACTAATCACAATTATAACAAAATAAATACGTATGCACTGCATCTGTGTCTATATAATTTTTGAGATAAGTATTAGTTAAAATGATACTAATTTCGTCAGAGTTCTTTATGTAACCGACTGCTTTTATTTTTATAATTTCGAATTATATCTACAAGTGTAATAAATACATATATTTATACATATGTGAACTTCTTGGAGAACAGAACGTACTTCTGATTATGTAAACGTGCTTGAGATGTATGCACCAGTTCACTAGCCGGAAAATAAAATTTTCCTGCATGGCCAGTAAATAAATATGACTTATAAGGTAGGAAGACTAATTTGAAGTAACAGTTAAATGTAAATGTTTAAATCGCTGGCTTAAGATAAGCAGACTGAAAACCTAAATATAACAAAACAGAAATGTATGTGAGATATCTGCAGAAAATAATATTAAAGACAATTGTGTGTAGGCAACTTTTTATCTAGAACTGGTAATAATGCGACGAGCATTTATGATGTTATCGAGTTTACTATTATAATCGATAATTTTAATATTGGTCTGAATGATAATTTTGCGGAACTATTGAAAACTGACGTTAATCTTTTAAACACACCAAAGTTCATATTATGTATAAACATTGCCAGCTTTGATGAAAGTGTGAAAGGAAGATGGTTTAATCTTACAAAACCTTAATAATTCAAAACGTAATAGTGTTAATTTAAAATGAGTATATTACAAGAAAGCGCAAATCAGTGGATACCAGATAATACAGGTTTTTTCCCCCAACAAAAGTCTCAGAGCACAAATTGATTCATTTTAGATCATCATCATCATAAAGTCGTCAGTCCTAAGACTGGTTGGACACACACCTCCACTTCTTCCTATCCTGAGCTAATCTTCGCATTTCACTAAAACTAGAACATCCAAAATCCTTAACTATTTGCGAACAGTAATCTAGGTCTATCTAGGTCTACCTCTACCCCTCATAACTCCTGTTTCTGCCTCTAATATGTCTCTGACTAGACCTTCATGCCTAAGAAGGTGTCCTACCAACTTATCTCGCCTATTTTTTAATTGACTTCCATACAGTCCTCTGTTCTTCTATTATTTCTAATACCTCTCCATTTCAAATGTTCTCTATCCACGGTCCCCATCTTTCATTGAAACACCACATTTCCAACGGTTTTAATCTTATCTTTTC